CCTAACTGTTTACAAGGGCCAATTTAGTCTCATAATCTAGCAGTGTCAAATTTGTCCCCATGTTCTTTCAATATGGGCTGAAACATTTGAATAACTATTTTAACCCCATTAAAAGTGTGTGGGGGACTAAATTGATATTTTTATAGACTCTCCCACAGGAAGTCGGGTTTATTTTGATTATTTTCTCTTACAGTAATTTAAAATGTTGTTTCAGCCAGCACTTCATTGAGCTCTGAGGAGGGAAATGCTGAGGGGAAAGTAACGAAGCGAAGAATCAGAAGAAAAGCTGTTGTTTCAGAGGATCAGAACATGGAAACACGACTAAGTGATGCCGATGAGATTATGACCTCAGTTAGTAGTGCTGGGGATAATAATGACGAATATATGACACAATTAAATGACAAGGAGGAAGAAGATATTAGCATTACATATAGTTGGCCGCCTCTTGTATGCTGTTTTGGAGCTGCTCAGCATTTTTTCATACCTTCTGGTAGATTGGCCAACCGAATGATCGACCACGAAATTCATGAATCGAAGAAAGATATGTTTTGGACCCCAACAAAGTTTGTGAGAGCTCCGGGGGGGTCACCATCTAGTGTTGCGATAGCTCATGCAAGTATAGGCGGTCGAGTCGCGTTTATTGGAAAACTCGGAGATGATGAGTACGGCAGAACAATCCTCTATCATCTAAATGTTCATAAAGTTCAAACACGAGCGATTAAGATCGACTGTTCGAGACCTACGGCTGTATCTCAGATGAAGATTTCAAAAAGGCATGGCTTGAAAGCAAGTTGTTTGAAGCCTTGTGCAGAGGACAGTTTTCTGGATTCAGAGATAAATATTGATGTTCTGAAGGAGGTGATTAATCTTTTCATTTGGGATGATTGGCTGTTTGATGTTTTTCAAACGTGCTGATGATTTTATTTTTAAATTGCTATTGTATATAATTTTTTAGCTATAGCGCTTTATTTGATGTTAAAATATACTGTAAAGTAGCTATCTAAATACGTGTTTTGTTTGTTTAAGTTACCTATAAATTTAAGGAAGAATTTCATACATACGACTTAAATTCTTATGTATTTACATATCTAACAGACAAACTTTCATTTTTACATGTATGTCACGTTATCTATGAAAAGGGTATAATAGTTCTATATTTTATGTCATATGAAAGATTTGGATTGTACAATTATGAAAAGTAAAATTTAGGTGTTAGATATATAAATGCATAAGAATAGGGTCGTATGTATGCACATGCCCCTAAATTTTATAGAATATGAGATTAAAATAGCCTCATGTAAACAGTCGGTGTACTATTTTGGCACTTCACTTGAAACGATTTAATCATTTTCTATTCTAAACCAAATATTGAATGCAGGGGAAGATGTTCTATTTCAATTCCTCATCCTTATTAGCACAAAGCACAAGATTAACCACAATGGAAGCCATTAGGATTTCCAAGAAGTATGGAGGGCTTATTTTCTTTGACCTCAACCTCCCATTACCTCTGTGGAAATCCAGAACTGAAACCAATTTGTTCATCGAAGAAGCATGGAACGCTGCAGATATCATTGAAGTAACAAAACAGGAGCTAGAATTCTTGTGTGGGATAGAGCCCACTGAGAAATTTGATACAAAAGACAACGAGAAATCCAAATTCACCCACTATAAGCACGAGGTGGTGAAACAGCTATGGCATGATGATCTCAAAGTTCTATTTGTGACAAATGGAACTTCTAAGGTGCATTATTACACCATAAATGATAACGGTTTTGTTCGTGGAATGGAAGATGCTCCTATCACTCCTTTCACGAGCGATATGTCGGTATCTGGGGACGCTCTTGTTGCAGGTATGTAAGAGCTCGATCCTATTTAGGCTTTATTTTGATAAAAAATATTCAAAATAATTTGTAAATAATATATTTACAATTGTAGATAAGGTACACTCGATAGAATGAATGAAAAATTAAGATTCATAAAGTCAACCTTGATTGATTGCGATAATGCTTTTGATGATAGTGACTATATCAAGGCAAAATGATAAGATGAAGTTGTAGAAAAATTAGGAAGGATAAATTGATAATACTAGAAGATTGATGTTTGGACATCAATTGAAGATTGAACATGTTGAAATTCATAATAAAGTGGAATCCAAAATAATCTCATTGATATGAAAGGGGTGTAAATAAGCTTATATAAATCCTAGAATACGAAAGATAATTAAAAGAAATAACATGAAAGGGAAAGATATATCGCATAATATCTCCCATAATGAAATCATGTTAATTATTTAGAGATAAAAGGAAATAATATA